ATTAGGGATTAAATTCACAAGGAATACCAAAAAAAGTGATTTGCGAGCGCTACTTTCGTCTTCAAACTCCTTTGATGCCTTGACTTTAAAATAAAGTGAAGTACTATTATCCTCGTTCTCGTTTTCTGAGACTTTAGTGACTGATACAAAAGCCCATGATCTCCCAACCCTTTGTAAATCAGAAACAGTTTCAGGTTTAGCATCCGCTAAGATAAAAAGGTCCCCGGGCAATGTTTTGTATGGCTCCTTTCCACGATCACAGAACCTGTTTCTCCAGTAATTAACCTTGACATCATATAGATTTTTCCCATACGGTTTTGCTTCTTCGAAAGCAACTACTTCAGCAAATGGTGCTCTGTAAATAGTTTCCATACTAGAATGCACTTGAGCTCTAGTTTCCTCCAACAAAGGGAATAAATAAGACCCAAAATAATGCTGAACCGATTGAAATGATTTCGGAATCTCTTCCACCTAAAACCGTTAAAAAGTTCAAAATCATTACAATGCAATAGAAATTAGAGAATTAAATTAAGACAATATGTTCTGCATAAAAAAAAACAATCCTCCTCTTGCAGTAGACGTTAAGATTTCAACCTTACGAATCGTTTGTTAATGTGGTGCAAAGTTTTCAACCTCCTGTGGTCTTTGCAACTAAGCATTCCCAAAAAAAAAAAAACAAAGATAACGCAAGACAAGGGAATCGTCTTTTGCTACCAAAACTCAAGAATCGTTACAGTGCAATAGCTTCAAGATTCAAGTCCAAAGCTTTTAGCTGTCAAGAGTGAATCCCACGTCAACCTATAAGTAATTGGTTACTCCTCGTACTACCAATCGGTTTTACGATGGAAACTCAACTTAGTCATTAGCATACAAATTGTTCACTGTGGTGGTAGAAAAGTTCTCAATTTTTGTGGGTTTTTGCAAAAAAAAAAAAAAATGCAGTGACAATCTCACCAAAATATTAAGAAAAACGAGTAAAGTAACGCCTTTTTGCAAACTAAAACTCAAAAAATGAGAACTTATGAGTAAAAGTGGAAGAACATACCCGGTTCTTGTACAGATTCTCATCGAGAATGTCTTCAAGTGACCAAGAAAACACAGTATCAGTGAAACGGTCCGTTTCAGTCTTCTTCTTGCCTGAAGCCTCCATCACCTCACTCACTCTCACAGTCTCACTCCACAGCAAATGCCTACAAACCCAGTTCACAAAACCCCACTATTTTACAGAAACATGATCAGTTTTTCAAAAGCGCAAAATTACGAACAATGAAAGGAGACGTTTGAGGAATTGTACGAAAATAATGCCGCCATGCATTTGAAGAAAAGGAGATAAATCAGTAGCAACTTTTTCACCGAAAGAGAAGGTATCTCCAGCCCATTAAGCAATCAAATGGTAAAAGAAGAGAAGGGTATCACTATTCACTTCACCGCTGAGGGTTTTCTCCTTGCCTTAGAGGGGAAGTTCCCTTGATCGACTGGCTGGTCCGTACTAGTTCCTCTTTACTAATTTACCTTAAAGCTTAAAGGTTCGAGCTTTACCAATACACATTAATAAAATCACCATAAAACTCAATGGATTATTGATAAAAGTGACCTTGACTGGGCTCTTGGGTCAACGAGGATTCGGCAAACTATTGAAGTTCGAATGTGAGGTTAAAACAATATGTGCATCGTTATAAGGGTAGGACCGTAGGTGGTAGATGATGCCTCGTTCTTCTTCGAGGAAGAAGCATACTGGTTCTCAGTCGCACTTCTTTTTTAATATCGGTGTTTTACTTAAAGAAAATTCAGATTTCAACAAATGTGTCGTTACGTTGTGTTATTGAACTTAATACGTAAATAACCTAACCTTGATACCAAAAGAAATTTAAGATTTCAGACCAAACCGATTGTTAAAATAAAAAATAATAATCTAACTGCCTATGTATGTAATTATGTTTGATTCTAGAACTTAGGAATCAAACTCTCAACAATAAAAAATATCAAACGAAAAAAGTAACAATTTTCATAATCACAATAAGAATCTTAGAAAGTTAAATCACCTCATGCTCGCACAATCTTTTGTTCCAAAACACACGTCAAAGCTAGTTCCTTCCCTTCTTAGAAATAAAGCTCAACTTTTTTAGTGTGCCAGAAACCGTACAGGTTCAATAATTTAAGAAAGAGTGTACAAGCGATAATTTATATTGATATACACTAAGGGAAGAAAGAGAAATTTTAAGTGAGTATAAGAGAGAGACTCTAACCACAAGGGAGAGAGCCTTTTGCTCACCACAATAATTATAATGTATGCTCACCATACACCTAATTGTTTGTCATGTGTCTTCTAACCTAACTCTAATTAACTCTCACATTAAATGTTATTTTTTCAATTTTGAAAAAAATTAACCAAAGTTAAGTGAAAGAATACGTATCAGATGAGTAATGTTATTTATACCATGTTTTTGTACCACATTTTCATACCATTTTAGGTGTCATTTGATATGGACAACCACATTATTTGAATTAATCATATTTTTAAATTTAATTCATTATTTAATAAACTAATAATTAAGAAAAACTAGTTAATTAAATGATGATTGTGGTATACGAGAAATCTTTTTTCTTCATTTCCTTGGGTTTTGTAAATTTTTCAAATGATGTGATTGTCCACATTATATGCCATTTAAGATGATATAAAAATATGGTATAAATAACATTACTCGTATCAGATATTTAAATATATGACAAGCATATACCAAAGTTTAGAACAATGAGCCAAAATATGAGCATTAAAAAGCTTTCATGTACTAAAAAACGCGTGTACGTTTGCTTGGGTTTGGTTGGTATTTAATTATTTTTGACTTGTTGCTTACACTAATTCTCCCACATTTTTAACGCGGGGGCTACCAAGTTCAGACATGGATCCTCTCCGAATCCAATTGTCCTAATTCTAGGGATTCATCAATACGAATCGTTGAAATTTGATCCAACGATTAAAATTATTATTACTTTTAAAGTGGACTTCTATTTGTAGTCGTTGAATTAAATTTCAACAGTTCGAATTAATGAATCATTAATATTAAGACAATTGGTTTCGGAGAGGATCCATGTCAACCAAGTTCCAACAACATTTACACAGAGAAGCTCGACGGACGAATGGCTTATGGGAATGCGGAATGCTAGCAACACTTTTATTCCGACTTTTTATCTTCCATTTCTCACATACACTGTTTACTTGAAGATGTGAACGGCTTATCTAAAGTCATTCGTCAAAATCACTTATGCAAAAGTAAAATAATTAAATTTAAAATCGTTTAGTTATTTAACTATTATTTAATAAGGATATGCACTATAATTTTTGTTTCAACGCAACGTTAATCAGTTAAATGACTTTTGTTTTGGTTGATTATTTTCATTGTATTCATTACAGAAAACTATGAGAATGTTGTAAAGAAAATGTACCAGTGAGAAAATTACTCCATGTGCCAGTGTGAATGTTTCTTTTCATTAGCTTAGGACTCGTCTGAATATGCTCTTAAAATGATTGAAAACGTTTTAAGAAACAATATTTTTATGTTCTAAAAACACTTGAATTACTGTAAGAAACATATAACGTACTTCAAGTGTCTTTTTCAGAATTTACTTACATTTTTACCAAGAATCCTCTTTGTGAGGATCCTATCCGAATCCTCTTTGTGAGGATCCTTTGATTATGTCTATTCATCGTACAACGTGCAATCAGAAATCATTTTAAACTTTTCATTTAAAATTAAACACAAATAGTACATGACGTAAACTGACCGTACGATTTACAATGAACGGATACGATTAAAAGATTCCCTAGATTCTCACATAGAGGATTTGGAGAGGATCCTCATTTTTTATTAAGGACTGATTTCAAAAGTAATTTTACCTAAAACGCTTTTAGTCATTTCAATAAGATTTTCTGTTTGGTACATGAAAGCGGGCCAAAAATCCCAGCCCAACCCATCGGGTCTTGGCCCTTTTCACAAAAGGCAGACTTTTTCTCCGGTCAAAGCCAAGCTAGAAGGTAAAACTTAGAAGGATGATATTGAAAAAAAAAAAAAGTACGATACTTCTAAATTCACCTTAAAATTCCAAGATCATTACATTTTAGTATTTTACTCAAGACACAGAAGGAAAAAATAAAAAAGTAAAAAAATAAAAACTAGAAAACATCATTAAGCTCAACAAAGGTCAAAATTTATGACTGCATGGAATTTAATAATTTGAGAGCCAAAGCTTCTTGTTCCTCTAAAGACATTGAGTCAGCAGTGAAACCCAGTTTCTTCTTACTTTCTCACCTTCATCATCACTACCAAAGTATATCTTCAACTTTTTGCGGGGTCGATCCTCAGCTGGTTCTCCTTCTGAATCAGAAAGATTATCCTCCGACTCTTCTTCTGTGTTTCCTCTCTTCAACTTCGTCTTATGCTTCAAACGTTTCTCACGGCGACGCTGGCGGTCTAGAACCTTGTCTTCCTTGTCCACCACCTTCATATCTTCCCTAAGCTTCTTATAATATTCGTTTTTCATGTCTGCAGCAAAAAATAAGATACGTCAGGACATGTTCTTCAGAATAGGAGTCGAAAATTCATAAATCTATTTGTTTACCTCAATTGTGCGTTTCGAAATTAGGGCGTCACCCCAAGTTTATGCTATGCTTATTCAGTTCCTGCAGAAGAATGTAGAGGACGCATTGAATAGCTACAATGTATTGGTAAAGGAGGACCTGAAAGACTTCCGGCCGTACTTTTGCCGTGGGATGATTTACAGTTTGGTTGATCGGAATGCAGAGGCGACGGAGCAGTTTGAGAAGTACCGGCAGCTTTCGCCGAAGAAGTTCGAGGTGGATGGCTACTTGAGGAAGCCATTGCCGAGAGTCAAGGTATTCGGGAGTGACGAGAATTGGGTTTTTGAGGCTCTGCCTCTGTTGAAAGACTCATTTTGTTCTTCTGTTGTTTTGAATTTGAGACGTGTTTGAAAGTAGAAAATAACTTGTTGTACAAGTTAACACATTGTTGTTACATTTCAATCCAGTTAATAAATTTTTTGCACCCTTAATAATTCTACTTCATAATATATGGTTTTACATCCAAAGAAGCTTCAAGTTCTTAAACAGGCCTTTAAAGGAATGGATCTTCATTTTATTTATTTTTTAAATGAAGATTAGTTATAAGACACATTCCACATCGAATTTCAACGACCCGAACTATCTATGTTGTAAGTCTTGATATCAATTCAATTTGAAACTATTTGCCCATTTAATTAAAACGATGAAATTTCAGTGATTCTTATAACACAATGTTCGTTAATTTATTTGAACTCAATTAGATGCCTCAATTATCACACATTCAAACATTCTCTTTTAATTCATAAAACTTCAATTATTTAGTTCAACATTTCCAGAGATGTACTCATATTAACAGGTTCATATCAATCAAAGATAATATGTCTCAGGACATCATACCAAAGGAAATATCAAATTCTTATACAGCAAAACAATATATATATACATATATTCGTGGTATAGCTGCAAGAAACAAAGATCAGATTTTGTCAATATTACTAGAAAATAATGGCGTTAAAACATAAATAATTATGCAAACCTTAATGCCTCGTGATTTCCACTCCTCGGGGCTGCTTGAAACTTGCATTGCTTGTGCAAGGGAATCATCCAGTTGCCTAACTTGTACAAGACATTTCTTCTTCCAATAGTCAAACATTGGTTTGGAAATCTCTTCTGCATTCTCGTAAACCCACAACCTCTGTCTTGTCCGAGTAACAGCAACATATAATTGTTTGAGTTCAGAGCATAAGATGTTGTGTTTGGCTTCGCTGAACCTTGGAAAGCATTGGGGCAATGTGGAGTCAAGTAAATCTTGTTCCTTCATATAATCATATATCACCCTCCATTTCGTTTTCATTGGCGATGAGCCAAAAAAGTTGTATAAGAGTACATCCTACAAACAAGTCATAAGTGTCATAAATGAAACCAAATATAAACTAAAAAAACATATCAAGATCCAACGAACTGAAAATATCATAAAAAAGGGATATAGATGAAAAGAAGAAATCACACTTCTTGTGATTAGAGCCCTCTTATAATTAAATAGTAAGTAAACAAATAGAGTAATCACCTGGAATTCAAGCCCCTTGCATTCCACTATGGTCAGAACAAGAGCATGCTTCCCAACAAATTTGGAAACTTCTTTCCTAGCATCGTCATCACGGACCAAAATAACTTGCTCTGCGCCGAAGCCAACTATATTTGCACTATCATTTCCACTATTCCCTAAAAACTCTATGATTGCATTTTCATCTTCTCCCGATTCAAGCACTACCGGAGCTTCCCCATGTATCAGACTGGTTTCAGGTACCAAAATATCAATAGAATGGGGGAAAAAACGATAAAGTAGTTCGACAATGCTCTGTGATAACTTCAATACACCAGTATGGGTACGGAAGTTTTGAGTCAATTGTTTAACTTCTGATATTTGTCCCTTTTCTTTTATTTCATGAGGCTCATTCCCTCTAGATTCCAACACAAACTTCTCGTAAAAGAGATGCCGTATATCTTGGAACCCGAAATCAATGCCCCTGGCAATTGTTTGTGCGGTATCACCAGAAAAGACAAAACCTAAGGTAAAATAAGTCAGGGATAAGAACAAAACTTTTGTTGAATAACCCACAAACCTTTTCAAGTGTAGAACATGTTGCTTGATGGCAAAACATAGCTTAGGACTCACGGTCACAAAAAGCTGGTGTAGAGTTCTTTCCTGAGTAGCTGAAGAACTCTGCCCAACATTGCTATTTTGACTACTGAGGCATCCTTGCTCTGCCAACTGAAAATATTGTTCTTTTTGAAATAATTTCATGGTTAAAACAGTGGTTTTCCCTGTTCCTGACCGTCCAAGTATAAAGGTACTTCTCTGATAAAGGATAATCTCCAACTCTCTACCCTCGCGGTCAGACAGCAAGTGATTCACAACACCAGATGACAATGAGTAAAACTTCATGAGCAATAAACTCTCGTTGACCTGTGAATTCTCAACATAACTTCTACCGTCAGAAGTGTCACCAACTAAGTCACTCTCAGCTTCAGTGTTGCTAAGGTCCTTAAACCGGGGAATATCCAAAGTGGGTGGCCAGCTATTTGGAACTTCTAAATCACTGTTCAAATGATAAAGAAGCACAAGAATTACTAGAGAATTTCAAAAAAAAATTAGGAAAAGTTTGTATCTTCATATGACTACAGAAAGAGAGCATTTGCTACTACAAATTCATGCATGTCCAGAAAAAGAAAAAGAAAACGCCTAAATGCTAAACAACGTACCCGTCAAGACACGTCTCATTGCAACGATTGATGAAATCATCTGTATATCTATTGAAAATACTCTCCAACCGATTTGTCAATATGGGGATATCCTCTAGAGGCAATATGTCCCAAATCTTTAATACTTGAATGTATTTCATCTCCTTCACAATGTCAATTGAGCAGACAACATATAGACCTTCAACTTTATACTGCCTCAAGATTGCTGATGAGTTTCCACTAATAGTCTCTACATTTCGCTTTCTTGGTCTCCAGCCACCAGAAAGCTTAAGTAGAAGATTAAGCACTGACTTCTTCAAACGGATCGACTTCAGTTTTTTGAACGACTTCAGGAAAATATCACTGAAAAGTACCTAAAGGGGGGAACAAGAAATTATAAAAATGGTTATAGAAAAGCTTCAAGAAACCAGCAATTCCAATTTCAGAACAAAGATTGATAACTTCAAACTATAGGGAGTAGTCGAAAATTAAGGCTCAGAAAAACAAACATAATAAAACCTAGAGCATTACCTTCCATATTTTGAGCAAATCATCAAATTGCTCAAACTCTTTCTTCACCTCTAACATGGATTTTGCCAAATCCTTGTCTTCATCAGCATTCAAAAAGCATTGACGAATTTTGGCATCAAAGACCAAGGCCTCCGAAACAGATTCACTATTAGTCTTCTTCTTGCCTGAAGCCTCCATCATCTCACTCACTCTCAGTCTCACTCGACAGCCAATGCCTACAAACCCAGTTCACAAAACCCCACTATTTTACAGAGACATGATCAGTTTTTCAAAAGGGCAAAATTACGAACAATGAAAGGAGACGTTTGAGGAATTGTACGAAAATAATGCCGCCATGCATTTGAAGAAAAGGAGATAAATCATTGGCAACTTTTTCACCGAAAGAGAAGGTATCTCCAGCCCATTAAGCAATCAAATGGTAAAAGAAGATAAGGGTGTTCACTATTCACTTCACCGCTGAGGGTTTTCTCCTTGCCTTAGAGGGGAAGTTCCTTTGATCGACTGGCTGGTCCGGACTAGTTCATCTTTACTAATTGACCTTAAAGCTTAAAGGTTCGACCTTTACAAATACACATTAATAAAATCACCATAAAACTCAATGGATTATTGATAAAAGTGACCTTGACGGGGTTCTTAGGTCAACGAGGATTCGGCAAACTCTTAAAGTTTGAATGTGAGCTTAAAACAATATGTGCATCATTTTAAGGGTAGGAGGAAGATGATGCCTCATTCTTCTTCGAGGAAGAAGCATACTGGTTCTCAGTCACGCTTCTTTTTTAATATTGGTGTTCTGCTTAAGAAAATTGAGATTCCAACCAATGCGTCGTTACGTTGTGTTAATGAGCTTAATACGTAAATAACCTAACCTTGATACTAAAAGAAATTTAAGATTTCAGGCCAAACCAATTGTTAAAATAAAAAATAATAATTCAACTGCCTATGTATGTAATTATGTTTGATTCCAGAACTTAGGAATCAAACTCTCAACAATAAAAATTATCAAACGAAAAAAAGTAACAATTTTCAAAAGCATAATAAGAATCTTAGAAAGTTAAATCATCTCATGCTCGCACAATCTTTTGTTCCAAAACACACGTCAAAGCTAGTTCCTTTCCTTCTTCGAAAATAAGGACAACTACTTGATAACCTTAAGTTTTAATGATAAGGATAAAATAAAGAGTAAAATAAATAGTACCATAATTGGCTTTTTAGTATAAAAATAAGGTTCTTCGTTAAAGTGAACAGTACCATGAGCTTTTCGTTAAAACTCCCTAGAAAATAAAACTCAAATTTTTTAGTGTGTCAAAAACCGTATAGTTCAATAATTTAAGAAGAGAGTACAAGCGATAATTTATATTGATATGCACTAAAGGGAAAAAAGAGAATTTTAAGTGAGTATAAAAGAGAGACTCTAACCACAAGAGAGAGAGTTTTTTGCTCACCATCATAATTATAGTGTATGCTCACCGTATAATTAATTGTTTGTCATGTGTCTTTTAACCTAACTCTAATTAACTTTCACATTAAATGTTATTTTTTCAATTTTGAAAAAAATTAACCAAAGTTAAGTGAATGAATACGTATCAGATGAGTAATGTTATTCATACCATATTTTTGTACCACATTTTCATACTATCTTAGGTGGCATTTGACGTGGACAGCCACATCCTTTGAATTAATCATATTTTTTAATTTAATTCATTATGTAATAAACTAATAATAAAGAAAAACTAGTTAATTAAATGATGATTATGGTATACGAGGAGTCATTCTCCTTCATTTCTTTGGGTTTTGCAAATTTTTCGAATGATGTGGCTATCCACATTAGATGCCACTTAAGGCGATATTACATGAATAGCATTACTCGTATCAGATAATTAAATATATGACGAGCATATACCAATGTTTAGAATGATGAGCCAAAATACGAGCATTAAAAAGCTTTCATGTACTCAAAAACGTGTGTACGTTTGCCTGGGTTTGGTTGGCATTTAATTACTTATGACTTCTTGTTCACACTGATTCTCCCACATTTTTAACGCGGAGGCTACCAAGTTCCAACATTTACACGGAGAAGCTCGACGAACGATTGCCTTATGGGAATGCGGAATGCTAGCAACAGTTTTATTCCGACTTTTTATCTTCCATTTCTCACATACACTGTTACTCGAAGATCTGAACGGCTTATCATTCGTCAAAATCACTTATGCAAAATAAAATAATTAAATTTAAAATCGTTTAGTTATTTAACTATTATTTAATAAGGAGATGCACTATAATTTTTGTTTCAACACTAAAATTGTAACAACGTTAATCAGTTAAATGACTTTTGTTTTGGTTGATTATTTTCATTGTTATTCATTACAGAAAACTATGACAATGTTGTAAAGAAACTGTCTCAGTGAGAAAATTACTCCATGTGCCAATGCAAATGTTTCTTTTCGTTAGTATAGGATTCATTTGAATATACTTTTAAAATGACAGAAAACGTTTTTAGGAAAAAATATTATTAGGTTCTAAAAGCATTTGAATTGATGTAAGAAGCATATAACGTACTTCAAATGTCTTTTTAGAATTTACTTATATTTTTACTAACAATCCTCTTTGTAAGGAACTTCTCTGAATCCTCTTTGTGAGGATCCTAATAATTCTTTAATCGTGTCCATTCATCGTGCATTGTGCAGTAAAAAATCATTTTAAACTTTTTATTTAAAATTAAACACAAATAGTACCTAATGTAAACTAACCGTACGATTTATAATGAACGAATACAATTAAAATATCCTCTGGATTCTCACAAAAAGAATTTGGTGAGGATCCTCATTCTTTATTAAGGACTGGTTTCAAAAGTAATTTCACCACAAACGTTTTTTGTCATTTCAATAAGATTTTCTGTTCGGTACATGAAAACGGGCCAAAAAACCTTACCCAACATATCGGGCCTTAGCCCTTTTCACAGAAGGCAAACTTTTTCTCCGGTCAAAGTCGAGCTAGAAGGTAAAACTTAGAAGGATGATATTGAAAAAAAAAAGGTAAAGTACAAAAAACTACCTTAACTATTGGCGTTACGACACTTTCATACCTCATCTTTTAAAATTGACAATGTCATACCTCATCTTACGAATTTGTGTCAATGTCATACCTTCCGTTAGCTTGCCCGTTTATTTATCAGTTTAATGCTGATGTGCCCTGATCCGGGACACATTTTTTATTAAAAAATTATTAAAAACTAAAAAAAAATCATTTAATATTTTTTAAATATTAAAATAATAAAAAAAGTTATTTGAAAAAAAAAAAAAAAAAAAAACCAACATCACAACATCAGTCTTCCCCTTCCCCCCTTCTCTCTCTTCTCCCCATCTTCATCTTCTTCCCCCTTTCCGCAATTGCAACCCAGAAAAAAAAGAAGAGAAAAAAAAAAATCAATTTGTTTTCCCCGTTCCCCACCCCCTCTTCTCCCCGCACCCACTCTCCGCACCCAACCTCTCCACCTTCGCACCCACCCTTTGCACCCAACCTCGCACCCATTACCTGCAACCCATAAAAAAAAAAAAAAAAAAAAAACCCAGATCCGAACGAACTGGGTTTTGTTTTTTTTTTTTTTTTCTTTCTTCCTTCTCTCTTCTTCTTCTTGTTTTTCTTTTGCGCAGGGTAGGTGGGTATTTGGGGTGGGTTGGGGTGGGGGGGGGGGACGAGAGTTTCCCCTTTGTTTCGTTGTTTTTTTTTTCCTTAGGTTGGGTTGGGTTGGGGTTGGTTTTCTTTTTTTTTTTCTTTTTCTTTTTTTCTTCTTCTTCCTCCTCCTTCTTTTTGGGTTGCAGGGGGTTGGGTTTGTGGTGGGGGAAGGGGGGGTGAAATGGGTTTGGTTTGGGGTTTTTTTTTTTTTTTTTTTTTTCCTCTTCTTCTTCCTGGATTGCAGGAAGAACCAAAAAGGAGAGGTTTATTTTTTATTTTTTTATGTATTTTTTTTATGTATTTTAATATTCAAATAATATTAAATGATTTTTTTTGTTTTTAATAATATTTTATTAGTTTTTTAATAAAAAATGGGTCCCGAATCAAGCCACGTCATCATTTAACTGAGAAATAAACGGCCAAGCTAACGGAAGGTATGACATTGACACAAATTCGTAAGATGAGGTATGACATTGTCAAATTTAAAAGATGAGGTATGAAAATGTCGTAACATCAATAATTGAGGTAGTTTTTTGTACTTTACCCAAAAAAAAAAGTATGATACTTCTAAATTCACCTTAAAATTTCAAGATCATTACATTTTAGTACTTTACTCGAGACACAGAAGGAAAAAATAAAAAATAAAAAATAATAAAAAACTAGAAAACATCATTAAGCTTAACAAAGGTCAAAATTTATGAGTGCATGGAATTTAATAATTTGAGAGCCAAAGCTTCTTGTTCCTCTAAAGACATTGAGTCAGCAGTGAAACCCAGTTTCTTCTTACCTTCTTCTCTCTCACCTTCATCATCACTACCAAAGTATATCTTCGACTTTTTGCGGGGTCGATCCTCAGCTGGTTCTCCTTCTGAATCAGAAAGATTATCCTCCGAATCTTCTTCTGTGTTTCCTCTCTTCAACTTCATCTTATGCTTCAAACGTTTCTCACGTCGACGCTGGCGGTCTAGAACCTTGTCTTCCTTGTCCACCACCTTCATATCTTCCCTAAGCTTCTTATAATATTCGTTTTTCATGTCTGCAGCAAAAAATAAGATACGTCAGGACATGTTCTTCAGGATAGGAGTCAGAAAATTCATAAATCTATTTGTTTACCTCAATTGTTCATTTCGAAATTAGGGCGTCACCCCAAGTTTATGCTATGCTTGTAATATTTTCAGTTATTCTGGTTTATATTTGATGTAATTCTAGAATCACAATACATACCATGAATTTCATCAGGCAGACCACTGTTATTGATATCAGCCAGCCTTGCTAATGGCGGTAGCGTGTTGCCTTCCTCATCAAAGACGACTCTAGTCCCCACTGGCCTATGGATATTGATCTTTAACTTCTTTTTCTTCGAAACCCGAGTAGCCGGTCTACAAGGAAAAAAAAAAAGTGATTGAACTCAAATTTCGCCAACAGATTGGGAAACAAATGGCACATGATAAAAGAGTGCATTAAGGTAGTCAGCATGGCATTGGTAATACATCCAAAACTACCACAGCTGGAAAATATCATTTTAAGTTGGGAAGCACAGAAAACGGATTTATTACGAAATTGTCCATCCATTTGTGTATAATTTGCTTCTAATGTCAATCAGAATCTTGCAACTTAATCTTTAAGGTTAAATATCTATAAAATATAATAGACAAGCAACTTACATAATATCTCCGATTTTTCGTCCTTCCCCCTCTGCCTCATTTGCAGTAGCATTTCTTACAAGAGCGTCTTCCTCCCCTTCCTCTTCCATAAAATCACCAATATCGAGCTCCTCTTTTGGAAGCTCCAACCTATCCTCCTTGTCCCAACTTTCTGGTTCAACAAGGGGAGATAATTCAGGCACTTTCTTGGACTTGATTTTCTGGTTTGCAAAACGAATTTTAGGAGTCATTGGTAGACCCAGTGACTGCTGAAAATTCTTCAATTGGTAAATTCGTAACATCAAAAATCTCTCTGTCCTTCTGCTTTTGAATAGACTTCACGTATGTGATAAATGCCCTTTTAGCCAGACCCTGAAGTGGATCTGGGTACTTGACTAGCAAAGATGCCAACAATCCAGACACCTGGTTGCAGTTTATCCGGGTTAGCCTGAGAAATCAGTATAGCAGCTAATTTAGCGTGGCCCACAAATTAAAATGGAAACAATAAAACTAAGTGGACAGTGGATTCTCCTACTCCCACCCCCGTCCTCCTAAGACGAAAGAAAGAATATTAAACCTGGGTGGACTTAATAGGTATTTTTGCCTCTTTTAATTTCTCAAGCATTTTTACTTCTGAAGGCATCAGAAATAAAAGTGATTGCCCTTTAGATTGATAACGAGCAGTTCGTCCAACTCTGTGTATGTAAGATGCAACATCGTCTGGGCAGTCCACCTACACATGGGGGAAAATATCTTTAAAACTGAGACCATAGACAACAAATTTCTTTTCCTTATATTTGTTATAACATAATAAGAATATTTTTGGAGATGACAACCCACCTGAACAACCCAGTCAACTGCCTTGTTGAAATCAAGGCCCCTTGAAGCCACATCAGTTGAGAAGAGAACACAACGTTTTTCAGAAAACTGTGAGTACGTTCCCATTCGTCCCTCTTGCTTCATCTTACCATGAAGACACTTCAAGGGTATTCCAGGACGGAGCTTTTTAAATGCTTCATAGACAAACTTTACCTATTAAAAAATGCAATTCAACATCATCAACAGTCGTAAAAATGGAGGTGAAACATGCACCCCACCCCCAAATATGATCCTGTGCCAAATTGGTTTGGGATCAAAACAGTACCACCTGAGTAAGTGAAGAAATTTCTTTCTAGTAAATGACTCGCGCAACTTAGGAGAAAGCTATATTCTTTATATATGTATGTGTAAGTATGTCTATAACTAGAATTACTGATATGATCAACATTTCCATGCTGGCTTGTGAAGGGAAAACAGGGTGAGTTAACAAAAGACATAAACATAGACCTCAATGCAGAACCATTAATTCAAACTCCAAGGGCATATAAAAAGTCTGCATCTTTCATTCAAGATTGAAGTTTATTGAACTATTTAACTGATTCTGTTGGGCGCACTCTCTCATTTCAAGGGCTTAAGCTGGCCTCTATCAATCAGATGAACTCGATGTTGAATATATTATGCTGAAATTATTAGGCATGACAAACTGGCATCTGAGCTACATAGACATAATTCAGAGACAAAATTGCACCTGTTTGCGGGTTGATAGAAACACTAGAATTCTATAATTTAGATGTGTCTTTATGAAGCTCCACAATACGTCTAATTTTTTGTCAAGTGAAACGATGACTGCCGCCTGCTGCAAAAGAGTAGGAGTCGCTGTCACAGCCTTCTCATGCACACTGAGATATTCTGGATCCTTCAAACTGAGTCTTGCAAGATCTTTAACCGACTTTGTTTGAGTTGCTGAGAAGAGAAACGTTTGTCTTTTTTTAGGTAGCTGTGAAATGATTGCATTCAGTGTGTCCTTAAATCCGACATCAAGAATACGATCTGCCTCATCAAGGACCAAAACCTGAAGTTGTGAGCAATCAAAATTTGGGGTTTCATCCATGTGCTGAAGAAGCCGTCCTGGAGTGCAAACCAGTATGTTCAGGTCATTTACGTGCTCCTTCTCTTCTTCAACTTTGCGACCACCAATTAGAAGGCCAGCACTAAAGTTATGGTGCCTCCCAACCAATTTTAACACATCAAAAGTTTGGTCAGCTATCTCCCTTGTTGGAGATATTATGATGCTGCCTACCCCATCCTGAGGTCCCCATCTTTCTCTATACAATTTTTCCACAAGCTGAAATAAAAGAAATGATACAGCATCAGAAAAGGTTTCTTTTTGTTACCAAAGAAGAATGCCTATCACGCCTATCACTGACAAATGAAAGGAAAGTTTGCACAAATATATGTATGCACATATAAATGTCTCGATCATTAGCATGCTTAAGTGTGTAAACAGATACATATAAACTTAACCTAAACACATAACAACTCAGTTTCTTGTGGCACATTTGGTTTCAAATTCAACAAACTTAGTAGAAAAGAGGGAAAACCGAGGAAATTAACAATCATAATTGCGATAAGCATAACAGAAACTCAAGAAAAGTTCGCAGATCCAAATATGCAACAAACCAAGACCAAAAATTTTGTACCAACCAAAAATCAAAATTGTGAACAAATTTGAAGAAAATCCATTCACTTCCTCACAATTTCCAGCATCAATCATCTTCCTAAAGCACTTATTTTTCACACAGATCAAAAGCACTCATTTTTCAAACGGATCATCAAAAATTGTAAAACTACACGCACCCAATTAAATTCTTTACACACACTGTCTCCGCAACCAAACCAACCCCAAAACAAAGCACGCCCAACTTACCGGAATAACAAAAGCCAAAGTCTTTCCCGACCCGGTCTTGGCTGCGCCGAGAATATCTCTGCCACACAGCGCGTGGGGCAAAGAAGCCCTCTGAATATCTGTCATTTCAACGTACTTGCACTGGCGAAGGGCGTCCTTTGTCTTCTTAGAGACGGGCAGCTGCTCGAATCTGGTGGCGCCGGCGTAGGGAGAAAAGAGGGTGCCACCAAGACGGCCGACGGGGGCGTCGGAGGGCAAGGCGGGGAGAGACATGGGGTTAGAGCCACAATCGGGTTTCTGGGATTCGATCCATGAATTCAGAAGCTCGATTTCCTGGAGCTCCGAGAGGTCCTTTTGCTTACGGGAGCTCTTCGATTTGGGTTTTCTCATTGCGGCTGGATCCGGCTGCGTTGAAACTTTGGATTTCGGAGAGGGACGGATTCTTGTTTTAGGGTTTTAGGGTGACGTCCGTGAGGGGCGCTTTGGCAGCGACAAGGGTTTAAGGTGTTCTCTAACCGCGATATGGAAATTTGTAGTTTTTTTATTTACTTTTACCTATTTACTTTGGTTGGTGATCCCATCACGGCAATTCATCTTTTTTAGAGTTTTGGTACTGAGATGATTCTAAAAAAAGTTAGTATGAAAAAAAGTTTGGAGCTATTTTTTGTGTTTGAAAAACATTCAACTTCAGTTTTTTTTCACAGTTTTAGATGAAAAAAAAAGCCAAAAACAAGAAGCTGCAAAACCTAGTTTTGAAAAACCAGCTTTTTTCACATATGTTTTATATAAAAGTTTACCAAACACTATAATACTGATTTTTTTTTTCAAAAGCACTTTTACAAAAAAGTTTACCAAACACTCTGCTGCTTTATTTCACAGCTGCTTATTTTCACAGCACAGCAGTAGCAGCTTTTTTTTCAAAACACAGCAATACCAAACCAACCCTTAAAGATATATTAGCTTTTCGTGACTTTTATCCTATGGTTTACCAACATTAAAAATTAAATCTTATACGTGCTATGTGAAATATGAGCCTAAAACTCATTATCAATCATTACTATGTGGTGTTTAGCTAACCATGATAATTAGATCAGTGCATTTTGCTCTTCGATCCGCTCTCCGGACCACGTGGCCATATGGCCCACAAACACAAAAACATCCCTACCATACAAAACCCATCCAAGATTTTCCCCAAGCAACTGATCACCATATTCCTTGTCGTTAGATTAATTGGATTTAATTGGTTTAAGATAGAAATCTTAAAATGTAAACTAATCTAACAACAAAAATACCTTCTAAAAATTTGACATATCACTCCTCATCTAAGTTAATTGAACTTGAGATTTTTACATAGTATGTACTTACGACTCGTATATGAAAAGTTTCATTATATCATCCTCTCACACAATATCGTAATATTACTTGTATCATAGTGGTTTATGTGTTTGAATCTCCCTCACACAATATCACAATACCGCTTGTATGTAAGACAAGTATTTATTAAACATTTCCCACTGAAAACAAAATATTGACTAAGTGATCGCCTTGGATTAGAGAAAAACCGTATTTAAACTCTAAGATGAGTGATTTTCACACTCCCGTTGGTGTTATGTTTAAGAATCGATTGGAAGTCGCGTGGCCTTCGCTTTGGCAGATATATCTCTATGTCATTGAACTATCCAAGTGGCGCATTACGAGTGGCTTATATGATTTAAACGCATGGCAAAAATCCAGTTGGGTATAAGGTATATATATATACACAGAGGCAGGAGTCTCCGTCCCACTTATTTCACGCAAGTCTTCAACGGCCTTATCATCTCCTCCAATATCCATCGCCAGTCCTGCTGCAACTTCAGCAGACTGGTCTTCCGCTTGCGTGATCTCATCCAAAAATCCTCACAAATTCCACTTCCTCGCATCATTCAAAACCCATTTATTCTCTTCCATTAATCCCACTTACTATAGCAATAATCTCCGGGTTTCAATGCAAATTCAACCAATTTTCCCGTCATTGAATTGGACTTAAAGTTACAAAACTCCCCAGAAGAATGTCCAGCTCCAACGCTGGGTGCCGAGGACTTGAATGATTTCATATGTGGCTTGTTTCAGAATCCTCAGACGGAAGAATGCGCATACGATCACTACGAGAAAGCGCGAAAGAAGCCCGAATTCAGATCAAACAAATCGACAATGGAGCAGCTGATAAGGTACTTGATCCGTTCCAATAAATGGGGTTTGTTTATTTCGGATTTTGAGGATTTTAAGAATTATAAAATAGTGCCTGATGGTTATACTTGCTCTAGATTGGTCACTAGCTGCATTAGAGCTAGGAAGTTCAAAATTGTTAGGATTTTGCTTGATGTGTTTAGTGATCATGGAGATGAAGTTGCTGTCCCGGCTTTTGATTCGGCGATGAGAGGATATAATGAGCTTCATATGTTTAAAAGCACGATTTCCGTGTTTGAACGGATGGAATCCGATGGAATTACTGCGAATTCCGGATGCTATTGCCGGATCATGGAAGCTTATATGAAAAAGGGTGATTGCAGAAAAGTTAATGAATTGTTTGAAGAAATGAAAAGTAGGGAATTAGATTTGGTGCCTTTTTCAACTCAAATATACGGAATTTTATGTGAATCACTGTGCAAATTGGGACAGCCCTTTGAAGCTCTTGAGATTTTCCGAAGTGTGACGGAGAGAGGAGTTTATTTAGACTCTTCAAAGATTTACTCTGTGCTGATTTGTTCATTCGCAAGCATTGGAGAAGTAGGGATGGCTGAAGAGCTTTTTGAAGAAGGAGAGAGCAAGAAATTGTTGAAGGATCCGAGTTTGTTTTTAAAAATGATATCAATGTATGTGGAAGAAGGGTTGACAGAGAAGACTCTCGGAGTAGTTAAGGCGATGAAGGGTGCGAATATCAGGGTTTCTGACAATATATGCTGTGCGGTTGTTAGTGGCTTCTCTAGGAAAAATCGACTCCTGACTGCTGTTAAATTTTTCGAAGATTTGGTGTCGATGGGCTGCCAGCCAGGGCAAGTGACATACGCGTCCATCGTCAATGTCTATTGCCGCCTAGGGCTTAACTCAAAGGCAGAAATGGTTTTTGAGGAGATGGAGGAAAAGGGGTTTGGTAACTGTGTAGTGGCATATTCTAGCATGGTTGTGATGTATGGGAAAACAGGGAGGCCAAGAGATGCAATGAGGCTCATGGCGAAGATGAAAGAAAAGGGGTGTAAGCCGAACTTATGGATATACAATTCTTTGATGGATATGCATGGAAGGGACAAGAATTTGAGGCAGGTTTCGAAGATTTGGACGGAAATGAAGCGAAGGAAGGTAGCGCCGGATAAGGTAAGCTACACAACGGTTATAAGTGCTTACAACAAGGCAGGGGAGTTTGAAATGTGTATGAAATATTACCATGAGTTTAGGGTTCATGAGGGTGTTTTGGACAAGGCTTTGGCTGGAATGATGGTTGGGATTTTTTCGAAGACGGGCCGGATTGATGAGCTGGTGAAGCTTTTGAGAGATATGAAATCGGAAGGGACGGCGTTGGATGGGAGGCTTTACCGGTCAGCCTTGAATGCTTTGACAGATTCGGGGCTGGAAATGCAGGTAAAATGGCTGCAAGGTAGCTTTAAGATTACATAGATTATATCGATAGGCCTCTTAAATCTTGATTCGATTTCGAAAATTTTCATTGTATAACTGTACAGATCGAAATCGAATTCCAGCGTTATGCAGAGATGAGACTCACATGTGTTTGTGAGCCCTATCTCTGTTACAGAAGTGATAAAAATGTGGCATGTAAAATGTAGTAAGAGTAGCATTTTTGCCAAATATATGCACCAAATGAGTAGTGCTACATTTACCATTTATTTGTATCATCACTTAATAGAGGTAGGGTCTTCCAACATATGTGAGTCTCATCTCTATTAGAGAGATGATACAAATGATGGTACCACTAGATGATAAGAATAACATTTTTGGCACCAAATAATGTGGCTCTACACCATATAAATTATCACAACAAAATGCTATTCTTACCATCTCTCTAATAGAGATGAGACCCACATGTGATGGTGACTCCTACCTTTATTAGAGAGATAATATAAATAATAGTATAAATAGATGGTAAGTGTATCACTATTCTTACCACAATTATTAATCAAATTTCATGTACAGTCATATCGTTAATGGTTAAAATATATAACACCATCATTCATAATTCATGAAATAAATATATTTCAAAAAAACTTCTTTCTATTATTGGAAAACAAATTTATTGAAAAATAATAACATTGTATAATTAAGGTTACATATGAATGAATCAATACAAAATAGACACTCGTAAAAAAATAAAAATAAATAAAAATAAAATAAAATAAACTGAAAGAAATATTCGATATAGAGATTAAGTTACATTTTCATGTGTGGATACTCAATCTTGTGGCTCAAGTAAGTAAGAATTTAGTTGAGAGCACTGCAAATCCTTCTGACCTCTCCAGCTGAACCGGTGAGAGGATTAATGTCTCCCATTTTAATCATAGCGGTGATAAAATCAGCCTTAAAAGTTGCGGGCTTGGAACTGTACTCGGAGACGATGCTGTCTGTGGAACCTCCACTAAAAAGAACTTGATCCGATTCAAGAAGACCCTTTTTCTGAATCAAATTCTTGTAGTAATTGTTGTCGAATGAGTTCGGTGTCACCAACTCGAGCGGTGCCAAATTTGCATCGCCGTTGTTCGCGTCAGCTGGACAACGACGTTTGCGAGTAGTGGCAAAGTTAGAATCGATGTCACTTGCATTGTTGTAAATCCTGCCACGGAATGTAACGCAACGAGCCTGTCCAATTGTATGTGCACCTGACAGTGCAACCAAATCTCTCGCGTTGAGGCCTAAGTCGCCAAATCGCTCTCTAAGGCGGTCAAGGCTGTCTGTGAAAAGTGGAAGTGAACTTTCAGCTAGGCTTTGGCTTGCTGTGGTGGAATCTCTTCTTCCAAGTTTCACCGTCCAAGATGGACCGCTCACGGCAACAGATGCATCCCGAGCGGCGATGGCGAGAATATCTGCGCAAGATACAACACCAGGGCAGACCTTCTCCACTTCAGCTTTTGCTTTATCTATGACTTCAAAGCCTCTCACAGAACCGTTATTTTGAAATGCATCCTTTTCACTTGTGATAGAAGGAGCGTCATCAAGTAAGATTGATGCATCACAACCCTACAGATACAATTCATATATTCATCAACAGCTAAGACACTCAATATTGCGCTACAATTTATAATTATATTTCACGAATAAGGTTAAAGTTTTATTAAAAACAGCATGAAATGAGAACACCTACCCTAAAAATACATTGTGTATATATATATATATATATGTATATGTATATGTATGCATGTATGTATGTATGTATATATGTCAAGTAATTAGTACCTGGACAAAGCAATCATGGAAATGGAGGCGGATTAGGGATGCGGCCATTCGCCTTTCACTGGAAACAGCTGTTCTTACGGCATTTTTTATAGTGGTAAGAGCGTTTGGACAGGTTTTGTCATAAAATGTAGAAGATAATTGTGCCTCGCTTGTTGTGCTCATGAAAACCAACATCACGAGTGCAACAGCCGCGACATTTCCATGGCCGGAAAAGAAAGGGAAAGACATCTTCATCGAGCTTAATTGAACTTAATCAATACAAGTAAGAAGCCACTAAATGAAAATATTTGAAGTGATGAACTGAATAAAGAATGAGATTGAATATTGAAGAAGTTGATGACGATTAAGCTTGTATGTCTTGTCTATATATAGTGCAGTTTCGTACGTACTCAAGCTGCTTTCCTTTGTCCAGGTCGCTATTTCGTGCGAACGCGTACGTCGCCTTCAAAATATACAAGAAAGGTATTCGTTTTTAATGGATTGTGGTTTGAAGTTTCTCTTGTTACTCTTAGTATTACTAGTCAAAGGATGAAAAGTCGTCGTGTAATTAGTCTTATTTTACAGCTAGGTAATCTCTGTCCTACTGCAAAATTGCATGGGTAATTAGAAATGTTAATATAAAACGGTTGACGTGCGACTTTTGTGACCTCCATGCATGCATGCAATTGGTCATTATATATGTAAAAGGTAGGTGCACTTTGTAGTTTCTCGGATTTGTTCTCTCTCTAGATGGATTCATAATTCTTACTTCATGCTCATAGGGTCATAGCAGCCCACGCTTTTCGTTGTCCCAGAACATGAAATTTTGATTAAGACAAGACAAAATTAATTAAGGCCAAGTTTATGAGTAATCTTTTGTAGTGTAGACAAGAGGTGGCCTTGGCTTAACACGTCTAAGAGATATAATTAACCCACCAATTCTTATTTCTTTTTCATATTACATTATGTACTATTACGAGTTACAACCTAAAACTTAAAAATTTAAAGGGTGCTTTAGATTTAATTTGGCCCTTACAATTCATGATTCCTAGATAAAAACTCATCTACATATAAACGTCCAATAAAAACCCAAATTTAAAATCTGCAGCCACATCGGAACACTATTGACCTACTAATACAATTTATTTACACCCATGCCACTTTCCAAATCCATAAATTTATTCGAAATTAAAAGTTGTAGAAGAAGTGAAATAAAATATATAAACTGTTGTATTGCATTAATTGTATCCATATCATACCAAAAATTTACCCCATATATATTGCATTAATTGGGAAGTAAATTAATTTGTTCCAATTATTAAAAAAAATTATACTAAATCCGTATTATATATTTTGAATCAAATAAAACTTCTCTAACTTGTAGGTAAATTATTTTTCATGTATTGTTACATATATTAGGCACATTTTATTGTTGTAAACCCACTCCCCTGGGCAATGTGGGATGTTACAATCCACCCCCCTTAGGGGTCCGACGTCCTCGTCAACACACTTCCGCCCAGGGATTGGCTCTGATACCAAATTGTCACATCCCGGCCCGAGCCCCCACCACATCCCAGACTCGACTCCGCCGTAGCACATTATTGTCCACTTTGGGCCCCAACCACGTCCTCACGATTTTGATTCTGGGAACTTACGTGCAACTTCCCAGTGGGTCATCCATCATGGGATTACTCTTGCACGAACTCGCTTAACTTTGGAGTTCCGATAGATCTGATGCCAGTGAGCTCCCAAAAGGCCTCGTGCTAGGTAGAGATGAGAATATACATATAAGGCTTACAGATCCATTCCCTAGGCGATGTGGGATGTTACATTAGCCTATTAGGGGTGTTTTTTGGTAAAAATATATATAGTAATATGTATATGATTGTTTGTAGATAAAAGATAAAATCAAAAGCATGATCTAATTCCTAAGTTTATGCAATAGTTTGTTGTTGGTATACAATATTTTGCATAATTGAAATGAACATTTCAAATAGTAGGTAGGTAAATTAATATGGTCTAATTATATAAATACACACACACACACACACACACACACACATATATATATACACACACATACCCACATTTTGAATCAAATAACATTTTTGTACATGGTAGGTAAATTACTTTTTATTTTTTTTATATATTATTACATATATTAGGTTTTTTTTTTTTTATGGTAAAAATATATATATGAACTCATAATGCCATATACATAGAATTAAGCCAAAAATTGTCATATTTGATATTAATATGCAATGAATTTTTTAACATTAATGTCTTATTTTTCTTTTTGCAAAATCATTAACTCTCTCCTTACAATCTGTATAGAATTAATTGTGCGCATCAACTATGCAATAGGGGTATATTGGGCATCTAAAAAAATGTAAAATGTGTAAAGTAATATGTAATTAATGAATTCATTTAGGTGGATCCTAGTCATTGGATTTTTTTTTGAGTAAAAAAAATTATGTCTGGTTTTATATGGAAAAAATTGAATTTGAGGGGTTAAAGTCATATTTTCAGAAATTTAAATGATTAGTTTAAGCTGTAATGTATGGAAAAGCTTTTAGAATTAAGCACATCGGTGATTTTAACAATTTCTAACAAATCATGCATAACTGGCAACCAATTAAGTACTAATTGTGGAGTGAGTGAGCCTTCAAACAAAAGTAATCATATGTTCGCTTAAAAGCAATGCTGAGTAGGTCAATTTTTTTTACCAAAGTTACAAACTATGTTGATGAGTCACCAATAGAAAATAATTAAACACGTTAATCAATATTTAAATAATAATTCAATTGTCAATAACTACGTCATATAATTTACAAAATGTAATCTAAATAGTTGATCTCCTTAGTCTTACCGGTTCACACCTAATGAAGATGAAGTAACTCTGCTCTCTGATGAGGCTTCTGAACTTGTATAAATGGTCAACTATGAAACAAATAGATATGTATTTACTGAGACAACATTAAGCTTTCTAATGTAACATTAAGTAGGATATGGTCAAACATTTCAACTTATTAGTATACTTGTCGCTTTCTGACTTTTCATGCCTGCAGTCTTTTGTTTTCGAAATAAATATATTTATTAGACATTAAAATAAGAGAAGCTAAGAAACTGCATATGCATTAAGCTTTGTCCAGGTCTATAATTATTATTGGACCAATTCTCTAAAAATCAAGTAGTCAAGCATGCGATTTGTGAGCTGCACACCACAAAGTCAATCCACAAATTTAGAAGAGAGGAAAGCGATAGATTATGAGATTAACTAACTTTTTAATTAATATGATTCTCAATTTTTAGGTGTTACATATCCATATCAAATGCAAGGAAGTCAAAAAATAGAAAATTTTGATTGGAAAATGATTATCAATCTCCCTTTATCGTCATGCACTTCTTTACTTTGTTTTTGTCACTTAATTCACTCATTCCTTAATTTACTGCATTGATTCAATTATGTGGTGAAAAATAAGAAAAGGAGTGCGGGAACAAAATGGGTCTAAAAAATAACAACTTTTCATTTCAGTTCTTATTTCAGGTAAGTAAACACACCATAAAATATGAAGAAACTAAATTTATTATAGAAAAATCAAATGTGCTACGTCCACATGCAACGAATGATCACAAGCAACGAATGATCACAAGAAACACTGTCACGGTGATTCAGTGGCTCCACCAAATAACTCACTTAATAATTATTCGTATTATTGGAAGAAACTATGCATTAAGAGAGGTGTATTCGATTGAGAAATTATGTTTTCAATTGAGATTTTGAGAGATTTTAATTCTTTTAATGAATATATTGGTATTCAAACAAGATTTTAAGTGATTTATGAAATTCAAAGTGTATTCTATCAAAATTTTAAGATAGTTTAAAAAAATCCTTAGAAATCTGGTCTATTCAATTAGGATTTTAAAACCATCTTCAAATGATATGTCAAATATGCCAAATAGGATTAAAAGACATTCAAGTGTTCTCCAATGGATATGTCAAATATGATGTGGCAAGTTGGGATCATTTGACTCCTTACTTTCTAGCTGTCTTTTTTGACATGCAAACAAAGAAGGAGTCAAATATTTTTAATTTAATTTTTTAATTCATGGGTCCCAAACAACCAATAGAATAAAAACTAAAATTAATTTTAATTATTTTTTAATAGTTAATGTAACTCTGAGCCCAATAAAATAATAATATACATATTTGATGTCACATCCCGGGCTCGACTCCACAGTAGCACAATATTGTCCGCTTTGGGCCCCGACCAAGCCCTCAAGGTTTTGTTTCTGGGAACTCACACAAGAACTTCCCAATGGGTCACCTATCCTAGGAATGCTCTCGCTTTGTACTCGCTTAACTTCAAAGTTCCGATGGAACCCAAAGCCAGTGAGCTCCCAAAAGGCCTTGTGCTAGGTAAAGATGGGAATATACATATAAGGATCACTCCCTTGGGCGATGTGGGATCTAACAATCCACCCCCTTAGGGGCCCGACGTCCTCATCGGCACACACGCGGCCAGGGTTAGGCTCTGATACCAAATTGTCACATCCCAGCCCAGGCCCCCACCACATCCCAGGCTCGACTCCACCGTAGCATGATATTGTCCGCTTTGGGCCCCGACCACGCCTCACGGTTTTGTTTTTGGGAACTCACACGAGAACTTCTCAGTGGGTCACCCATCCTGGGAATGTTCTCGCCCCGTACTCGCTTAACTTCAAAGTTCCGATGGAACTCGAAGCCAGTGAGCTCCCAAAAGGTCTCGTGCTAGGTAGAGATGAGAATTTACATATAAGGATCACTCCCCTGGGTGATGTGGGATCTAACAATGGTCGTGCAAATGTGGTGGTTCTGACAAATTTCACAAATGTAGGATCACCTTTGGGTGTTGTTTAATTAGTACTTGTCCAGTCAGACCGCACTTTGACTATTTATGCTTTGATTGTGTACTTCACACTTAATCTCGCACTAACACCTTATTTTAGCCAATACTTTTAGTAGTTTGGTTTTTATTTATTCGTATTTCCCTATATCATTTTGCTTCCACACTGTGCACATGGTTACGTCTCTTTCACGTCATGGCTAGCACGCCCTGATTTAGGTCGGTGTGTGTCATTTGACGCATCCATTGGAAAAAATGATGAACTAATCAGCCATCAAATATAATTTTGACATATTATTTTTGACATCTCCTTTGGAAATGCTCTAAAGAAGTTTATAACATTCTACCTGTATTCAATTACTAATTTTGACATATTATTTTTGGAGTAAATTGTAGCAATGATCCCTCAACTTTAACTCAATTGGAGCAATGGTCCCTCAACTAAAAATCCATTACCATTGGTTCCTTAACTCATCAAAACGTGCAGCTATAGTCCTTCAACAAAAAATCCATTACAAATGGTCCCTCAACTTTAATCCAATTGGAGAAATAGTCCCTTAACTTTAACCCAATTGTACCAATGGTCTTTCAACATAACTCATTTTAACAAAATTCTGACAAAGTTGACTAAAATGACCATAGCTACATGTTTTGATGAGTTGAGGGACCAATGGTAATGGATTTTTAGTTGAGAGACCATTGCTCCAATTTGATTAAAGTAGTTGAGGGACCATTGTTGCAATTCACTCTTATTTTTTTATATCTCAATTGGAGATGCTCTAAAGAAGTTTATAACATTCTACCTCTATTCAATTGTGAATTGATTTTACATAATTACAAAAAGTTAAAGAATTAGAAAGAATTGCAGAGTTTTCGTAGCATATTTTAAACATTCATAAATCTCACATCTTCTTATGAAATTTCAAGAGAATTAAATCAAAATTCTAGAATTTCTACAAATTAATTAAACTCCATCAAAATTCATGGATTTATAAATTCACTCAAATTACAACAGATCAAAAGGTCCCCAAAATTAAATAGAAAACAAATCCAGATTTTTTTCATAAAAAACATGATCATGATCACAATCCAAAGGCACACGACATTGCAGTCAGAGCCGTGGTGAAAATTGGCCACAGACGACTGCTTCTAGACCAATCATCGGCACCACTGGCTGGGTGATTAGATTCACTGCAATCGTCATTAGCACCACTGAAGCATCGGGGCCTTGTTATTTTAGCCTCACCTCCCTCCGTTACAAAGGTACTGTAAGTTTTTCCGCTGCTGAACAAAACGCACCAGAAATATGGAGCTCCACCATCACTGCCACTCGCAGCAGCTCCCACTTAAGTGTGGTTCTTAGCTTAGAGAATGTCCAAGACCTTGCTGTTTTCAATCAAGATTTTCGAAAATGCTTCGTCAGCGTGGACATATTTAGACTGGCAGCCAATTAAACTACCGGTGATTGGAGCGAGGGTTGAGGTTTGAACACCACGGTTGGGAGCAAATGTTTCGGCAAATGCAGAATCAGGAGGCTTCTTGGCGTCGGGCCCTCCTACAGCATCGCAGTCACCTTGGTACGCTTTTATGTACTGCAGGGCAATGCACGCCAAACCCTGGTTGTCGTAGAGGGATGATGCTTTGTGTGCAGTCCTGTTGCACCAAATGAGTAGTGCTACATTTACCATTTATTCGTATCATCTCTTTAATAGAGGTAGGGTCTTCTAACACATGTGGGTTTCATCTCAATTAGAGAGATGATATAAAAGATGATACAACTAGATGATAAGAATAACATTTTTAGCACCAAATAATGTGGCTCTACACCATATAAATTATCACAACAAAATGCTATTCTTACCATCTCTTTAATAGAGAAGGAACCCACATGTGATGGTGACCCCTACCTCTATTAGAGAGATGATACAAATAATAGTATAAATAGGTGGTAAGTGTATCACTACTCTTATCACAATTATTAATCAAATTTCATGTACAGTTATATCGTTAATAGTTAAAATATATAGCGCCATCGATCATTCATAATTCATGAAATAAATATATTTCAAAATAACCGTTGGTAATCGACAATATAAACATCTGACTTCATTCTATTATTGGAAAACAAATTTATTGAAAAAGAATACACTATATAATTAAGGTTACATATGAATGAATCAATACAACATAGACACTCGTTAAAAAAAAAAAAAAAAAAAAAAAAAAAAAACTGAAAGAAATTTTCGATATAGAGATTAAGTTACATTGTCATGTATGGATACTCAATCTTGTGGCTCAAGTAAGTAAGAATTTAGTTGAGAGCACTGCAAATCCTTCTGACCTCTCCAGCTGAACCGGTGAGAGGATTAATGTCTCCCATTTTAATCATAGCGGTGATAAAATCAGCCTTAAAAGTTGCGGGCTTGGAACTGTACTCGGAGACGATGCTGTCTGTGGAACCTCCACTAAAAAGAACTTGATCCGATTCAAGAAGACCCTTCTTCTGAATCAAATTCTTGTAGTAATTGTTGTCGAATGAGTTCGGTGTCACCAACTCGAGCGGTGCCAAATTTGCATCGCCGTTGTTTGCGTCAGCTGGACAACGACGTTTGCGAGTAGTGGCAAAGTTAGAATCGATGTCACTTGCATTGTTGTAAATCCTGCCACGGAATGTAACGCAACGAGCCTGTCCAATTGTATGTGCACCTGACAGTGCAACCAAATCTCTCGCGTTGAGGCCTAAGTCGCCAAATCGCTCTTTAAGGCGGTCAAGGCTGTCCGTGAAAAGTGGAAGTGAACTTTCAGCTAGGCTTTGGCTTGCCGTGGTGGAATCTCTTCTTCCAAGTTTCACCGTCCAAGATGGACCGCTCACGGCAACGGATGCATCCCGAGCGGCGACAGCGAGAATATCTGCGCAAGATACGACACCAGGGCAGACCTTCTCCACTTCAGCTTTTGCTTTGTCTATGACTTCAAAGCCTCTCACAGAACCGTTGTTTTGCAATGCGCCCTTTTCACTTGTGATAGAAGGAGCGTCATCAAGTAAGATTGATGCATCACAACCCTACAAATACAATTCATATATTCATAAAAAACTAAGACACTCAATATTGCGCTACAATTTATATTATATTTTACGAAAAAAGTTAAAGTTTTGTTAAAAACAACATGAAATGAGAACACCTGCCCTAAAAATACATTGTATATATATGTATATATGTCAAGTAACTAGTACCTGGACAAAGCAATCATGGAAATGGAGGCGGATTAGGGACGCGGCCATCCGCCTTTCACTTGAAACAGCTGTTCTTACGGCATTTTTGATAGTGATAAGAGCGTTTGGACAGGTTTTGTCATAAAATGTAGAAGATAATTGCGCTTCACTTGTTGCGCTCATGAAAACCAACATCACGAGTGCAACAGCCATGACATTTCCATGACCGGAAAAGAAAGGGAAAGACATCCTCATCGAGCTTAATTGAACTTAATCGATACAAGTAAGAAGCCACTAAATGAAAATATTTGAAGTGATGAACTGAATAAAGAATGAGAATGAATATTGAAGAAGTTGATGAAGATTAAGCTGGTATGTCTTGTCTATATATAGGGCAGTTTCGTACGTACTCAAGCTGCTTTGGTTTGTCCAGGTCGCTATTTCCTGCAAACTCGTACGTCGTCTTTGTAGCTGTAGTAGTACCAATTCTGATTTGGTTGGCAAAATATATAAGAAAGGTATTCGTCTTTAATAGATTGTGGTTTGAAGTTTCTCTTGTTACTCTTAATATTACTAGTCAAAGGATGAAAATTCGTCGTGTAAGTAATCTTATTTTACAGCTAGGTAATCTCTGTCCTGTTGCAAAATTGCATGGGTAATTAGAAATGTTAATATAAAACGGTTGACGTGCGACCTTTTTTGACCTCCATGCATGCATGCAATTGGGCAATATATATGTAAAATGTAGGTGCACTTTGTAGTTTCTCGGATTTGTTCTCTCTCTAGATGGATTCATAATTCTTACTTCATGCTCATAGAGTCATCGCAGCCCACGTTTTTAGTTGTTCCAAAACATGAAATTTTGATTAAGACTAGACAAACTTAATTAATTAAGGGCAAGTTTATGAGTAATCTTTTGTAGTGTATACAAGAGGTGGCTTTGGCTTAACATGTCTAAGGAATATAACCCACCAATTCTTATTTCTTTTCATATTACATTATTACTAAGCTATTACGAGTTACAACCCAAAACTTAAAAATTTAAATGATTAGTTTAAGCTGTAATGTATGGAAAAGCTTTTAGAATTAAGCACATCGGTGATTTTAACAGTTTCTAACAAATCATGCATAACTGGCAACTAATTAAGTACTAATTGTGAAGCGAGTGAGCCTTCATATAAAAGTAATCATATGTTCACTTAAAAGCAATGCTAAGTAGGTCAACTTTTTTTACCAAAGTTACAACTATGTTGATGAGTCACCAATAGAAAATAATTAAGCTCGTTAATCAATATTTAAGTAATAATGCAATCGTCAATAACTACGTCATATAATTTACAAAATGTAATCTAAATAGTTGATCTCCTTAGTGTTACCGGTTCACACCTAATGAAGATGAAGTAGCTCTGCTCTTCGATGAGGCTTCTGAACTTATATAAATGGTCAACTATGAAACAAATAGATATGTATTTAAGCTTTCTAATGTAGGACATTAACGAGGATATGGTCAAACATTTCAACTTATTAGTATACTGTCGCTTTCTGACTTTTGATGCCTGCAGTCTTTTGTTTTCGAAATAAATATATTTATAAGACACTAAAATAAGAGAAGCTAAGAAACTGCATATGCATTAAGCTTTGTCCAGGTCTATAATTATTTTTGGACCAATTCTCTAAAAAACATGTAGTCAAGCATGCGATTTGTGAGCTGCACACAGTCAATCCACAAATTTAGAAGAGAGGAAAGAGATAGATTATGAGACTAACTGACTTTTTAATTAATATTATTCTCAATATTTTAGGTGCTACATATCCATATCAAATGCAAGGAAGTGAAAAAATAGAAAATTTTGATTGGAAAATGATTATCAATCTCCTTTTGTCGTCATGCACTTCTTTACTTTGTTTTTGTCACTTAATTCACTCATTCCTTAATTTACTGCATTGATTCAATTATGTGGTGAAAATAAAAAAAGAAGTGCGAGAACAAAACGGGTCTGAAAAGTAACAACTTTCCATTTCAGTTCTTATTTCAGGTAAGTAAACATACCATAAAATATGAAGAAACTAATTTTGTTATAAAAAAAGTCAAATGTGCTACATCCACATGCAACGAATGATCACGAGAGACACTGACAAGGTGATTCGGTGGCTCCACCAAATAACTCACATAATAGTTATTTGTATTATTGGAAGAAACTATGCATTAAGAGAGGTGTATTCGATTGAGAAATTATGTTTTCAATTGTGATTTTGAGAGATTTTAATTCTTTTAATATATATGGGTATTCAAACAAGATTTTAAGTGATTTATGAAATTCAAAGTGTATTCTATCAGAATTTTAAGATAGTTTAAAAAACATCCTTAGAAATCCGATCTATTCAATTAGAATTTTAAGACCATCTTTAAATGAGATGTCAAATATGCCAAATAAGATTAAAAGACATTCAAGTGTTCTCCAATGGATATGCCAAATATGATGTGGCAATTCAGTAATTTGACTTCTTACTTTCTAGTTGTCTTTTTTGACAACAAACAAAGAATGAGTCAAATATTTTTAAGTTAATGTAACTCTGAGCCCAATAAAATAATAAAATACATATTTGACACATTCATTGGAAATGAAGAGGATTTAACACTTGTATTGAATTTGCCACATCAATCATCAAATAATTTTGACATATTATTTTTGACATCCCCTTTGGAGATGTTCTAAAGAAGTTTATAACATTCTATTGTATTCAATTACTAATTTTGACATATTATTTTTGGAGTAAATTGTAGCAATGGTCCCTCAACTTTAACTCAATTGGAGTAATGCTCCCTCAACTAAAAATACATTATCATTGTTCCCTCAACTCATCAAAATGTGCAGCTATAGTCCCTTCACTAAAAATCCATTACCAATGGTCCCTCAACTTTAATCCAACAGGAGAAATAGTCCCTCAACTTTAACCTAATTGTAGCAATGGTCTTTCCAACATAAATCATTTTGACAAAATTCTGACGAAGTTGACTAAAATGACCATAGCTACATGTTTTAATGAGTTGAGGAACCAATGGTAATGGATTTTTAGTTGAGGGACCATTGCTCCAATTTGATTAAAGTTGAGGATCCATTGCTACAATTTACTCTTATTTTTTACATCTCATTTGAAGATGCTCTAAAGAAGTTTATTAACATTCTACCTGTATTCAATTGTGAATTGATTTTAAATAATTACAAAAAGTTGAGGAATCAGAGAGAATTGAAGAGTTTTCATAGCATATTTTAAACATTCACAAATCTCGCATATTCTCATGCGATTTCAAGAGAATTAAATCAAAATTTTAGAATTTCTACAAATTAATTAAACTCCATCAATGTTCATAGATTTATAAATCCACTAAAATCTATCAAAATTCCAATCAGATGCATACTTTAAGAAAAATTGGGTGTAAAAATTTCTAAAAGTCTAGGTGTATTAGATTGAGATTTTAGGAACTTTTAAAAGAATAAAAATAAATTGATAAAATTAAAAAGGAAATAATTCAAGTTCTTCACAACATTGCCACAAACGATAATCGATAGTAAAAATCCCCAAAGTTTTTTAGCAAAACAATTCGAAAACAATTCGAATTGGCAAAGCAGAAAATACTAAGAACTGATCCATTCATTCTTTCTCAGGTTGCTTGCCGTTGGTTCCAGTAACGCCATCCACAGGAGGCAACGTCTGCACAAAAACGCACAGCTTCATGAAACCCTAATACTAGAGGAGAGAGCAACAAAAACAAACGAATATTGTGCCTCAGCGAAGGGAGTGAAACATTTCGTCGGACACCTTGCGTGCAAACATTCAGGGTGAAAGTATAGAACACAAATTAACGGCATATATCATTGGTTTCGTAATTAATCAACCAGGAATGTGTTTCCGTGTGTGAGAGAGTGACAGAGGATGAGAGAGTCAAAGAGGAGAGAGATCGTACAAGATCAGGCTTGCAGAGATTGTGGACAACGGAGGCCCCGGCGAGAAGAGAAAGTACAACGACGACGGAGGACCAAGCCAGTGACGGAGTGCCCGTCGGCGGCCTCCCTCCCCCAAATTTCCGATTCATCCCCAGACCAAAACAACACAGTCGGCGCCGCCGCCTACAGTTGAGATTCCGGCCCTGGTTTTTTTTTTCTGTAATTAAATTCCCGCCCGCGGTTTTTTGTTTCCTTGGCACGCACGCTGTGTTCTCTCAATGGGCTTCAAGCGAACTTCATTTTCCTCGTTGGTGTCCCCAGGCCCTATAACATTTGTTTGTACGGCCCATGCAACAAAAAAGAAGAATAATTTTGTTGGTTGACTTTCTCCTCTACTTCTCGGTTAAAATCGAACCGTAGATAACCATAATTTTCTTCGACAATGGAGTATAGGAGAACGAGACCGATATTGGATAGCAGTTAGACAACTAGATTAATTGGTGACCTAGAAACAGACAGTGTCAAACTTTTAATTATCAAGTAACATTGCAGGATCAGTTAAAAAATATAAGACTATGAGAATGCTTAAATGAGAAGGTTGCTTGCTTTTCCAAAATTGAAAAGGAAAATCTTTTTACTAGCATCGCATTTTAATTTTATGCTTACACAACTACCTTCAGAGGTGTAGTGCAATATATTCGAAGTTTCATATAATTTTCCACTTACATATTCTAATTTATGATTTCTTATGCATTGACCAATATATGGAATAAAAAAGTATGTGAGTTTCACATGGCAATATATAGTTCAATACATGGAAACTCGTAAATTAGTTTGATTATGGGCTAGTTTATGATGTTTATCTCATACACATTCAATTTTTCTCATATTTTCGAATTCCGTGATGTTTAGATGCATAAATTATTATATTATTGAATCTACCTAGTGTTAGTAATATGATTAGTTTTGTGTATCTAAAAATAAAGAAAGGAAAACATCTACAAGCACAACACATGAATGTCAAGAAACAAGAGGAGTTTGAATGAAACCCTAAAGAAAAACATATAGGATAATAGGCGATTAAAAATAGGTAAGGCGCGATGAAAATACTACACAAGAAATAAGAATAATGATCCATGCAGGGTCATTGAATTTTATTAGCAAAAGCAACCCTGTGATACAGGGTCATATCAATTCATCTCATTACACAAGCACAGTCCTTACACAGACTTACATTGCTTTTTAACAAATTTATTAGCACTTTTTGTTGCACATGCATCTACGGCGGAAGCCACGACATTTGCCTCCAGTGAACTGCTCCCTTTTGCAAGTGTTTTTACAGTTAGTGGATGAAAAGCACAACCCCTTGAACTTGCCGCTCGCAGCCTCGCAGGTCCTTTCCTGAACTTCCTTGCTTGACT